GGAATTTTTAGATGGCTGTGGCGAACTCTACTAGAATTTAACACTGTATGATTGGAGCCGCGGCCGGCAAAGTCTCCATGCTTGTTCAGATACACAAATGACAAATTGACAACTTTCTTTTTGCTAGTAAGGATCTTGGCAGTAATGTTATCTTGTGATATGTATTAAAATGTTAATCTTGTCCAATACTAACCTACTCCCTCCGTTCCTAAATATAAGATTGATGAACTGAAAGAACGGACAAATTATTACCTTACCCAACAGCTTATCCAGGTAAGCGGTCATTGGTCAAGCCATTGAGCTCATTACTTGGGATAGAATTTGAGGTAATAGCACCAGAAGTCCCACAACTTGTCCTGGATGTGACGATTTGGTCTCAAACTTACAAAAGCCAACTATTAAGTCCCACAACTTGCACCCAAAGTGCAAATCTGGTCCTAGCCAATCGTAGCACGACAAGTGGAGCCTAGTCAGCACAGCCGGTCAGCGCAGCACATTTTGCAATTACCCCCCTGGCCTTAGCAGTAATCAACCCGCACTACAGAGCCGCAAGGCATCGTCGTCGTCCGCGTCAGCGAGCGCCTCAGCGGCCGCCTCGGCGAGTGCGTCCGTCGCGAACTCGTCCAGGCTCGGCGCGGCGCCGAACAAGAACCAGAAGCTGGCGCACGAGGGCGCAGCGCACGACCTGAACCTCGCGTTCCCGCACCACCAGCAGGCGCAGGCGGATTACATGGCGTTCCCGAGCCTGGAGAGCAGCAGCATGTGCAACCCCGGCGGCGGCGCAATGGCGGGCAATGGCGCATGTGCAGTGCATTGTTGTTACCACCAAACACACTGTAGCTCGGTCCTCTCCCCACTCCTACAGGTCTCCTAAAGTTGGCCCGGCAAACCAGAGAAACCGCACCACCACATGCGCCATGTACGTAGTACTGGATAGCTATGTACCGAGGCCTAGCTAGCTAACTCCAAGCCGGCCTAAAATGAAGCTTCACACAGGCCAGCATGTAGCATCCATGGCACCGATGAACAGAGATTAAAATGTTGTGTACTCTGATAGTCTGATGTCAGCCTGTCTGATGTGTTAGAGCTAGCTAGCCCCCAAGTCGATCACCAAACACTAATGAACGGCTAGAGCACAATTGCAAGGAACAAGAAGAAGAAGAAGAAGACCAGAAAGAAAGAAAGAAAGAAAGAAAGAAAGAAAGATATCAAACACCATATCCACCATCTTATTAAACCTTTCTGCCCTATCTCCAGCTGCAGCTTGGAAGCGCATGCATACACGCACAGCCGACGCTCCGATCGCATGAGCTATGCATGCATGGGCGCCGCCGTCCATGTTACCAGGTGCCGCCGCCGCCGATCATGCCGTTCCAGAACCCCGGCGTGTCGGGCTGCCCAACGGGGGTGCCGTTGCCTTGCTGCTCCTTGTTGCCTGGCTCGAACTGATGGTCGCCGCCATCCACGCCCGCGCCAGAACCATCACCGCTCTCACCGCCACCGGCGCCAGAGTTTGCCGTCGGCTTCAAGTCGTCGAACGCGAACGGCAACCTGCCCGACCTGTCCTGCATCCCTTGCATCCCGGCACTGGAGCCGTACCCCGCCGTGGAAGCCCCGCCAACCGTACCGTGCGCGTCCAGCGAGAAGCCTAGCAAGCTCTGCGACTGCGGTGGCGCCGGCGCGCGGAACTCCCCGAGCGAGAACCCCGCGGCGCCGTACTCCCCGGGCATCTGCATCGGCATCTGCAGCGGCATATAGCAGCCGGTGCTCCGGAGCAGCTCCATCGCGGAGAGCGCGCCACCGGCCCGGGCGCCATTGCCCGCCATTGCGCCGCCGCCGGGGTTGCACATGCTGCTGCTCTCCAGGCTCGGGAACGCCATGTAATCCGCCTGCGCCTGCATCCCGCCTTGGTGGTGCGGGAACGCGGGGTTCAGGTCGTGCGCTGCGCCCTCGTGCGCCAGCTTCTGGTTCTTGTTCGGCGCCGCGCCGAGCATGGACGAGTTCGCGACGGACGCAGTCGCCGAGGCGGCCGCTGAGGCGCTCGCTGACGCGGACGACGACGATGCCTTGCGGCTCTGTAGTGCGGGTTGATTACTGCTAAGGCCAGGGGGGTAATTGCAAAATGTGCTGCACTGACCGGCTGTGCTGACTAGGCTCCACTTGTCGTGCTACGATTGGCTAGGACCAGATTTGCACATTGGGTGCAAGTTATGGGACTTAATAGTTGGCTTTTGTAAGTTTGAGACCAAATCGTCACATCCAGGACAAGTTGTGGGACTCCTGGTGCTATTACCTCATAGAATTTTATCATGGCATTGACACAACAGTACTAAATGATGACAAAGTGCAGAAATATGATCTTGATCCAGCTGCAAAAGCTGCTGCAGCTTCGGTTTTGGCATCCAAGCTGGGGGCAGATTCTGGCTTAAGAGTACATCTTGGGGAAGAACCAAATTCTGATGCAGCAGTGGTTATGAGCAACAATGCTGAGATATTGCCATCAGATGGGCTGAGAAACAGGAAGCAACCCAATGCAAGAGGCAGCAGGACTGCTAGCACTACAGCTGCTCATACTTCGGCGCAAGGTGCTGAATCTAGCCCAGCTCTTAATGCTGGCCTGGAAAACGTACAGCCTACAAGGGTTGTAGAACAGGAAGCAACCCAATGCAAGAGGCAGCAGGACTGCTAGCACTACAGCTGCTCATACTTCGGCGCAAGGTGCTGAATCTAGCCCAGCTCTTAATGCTGGCCTGGAAAACGTACAGCCTACAAGGGTTGTAGAACATTATCAAGGCTCTGGGGCAAAAGTGATGGTGGATGGATTGCAAAAATCGCTGCCTTACTTGTTGGGGAGGACCATCACAGTCGTACGCTTTGATCTGTGCCAATTGCCATATGCATAATGGTATGTACGAGAAACAAAAGTTTTTGACCTTTTTAGCCATGCCCTCTCTCTAGATAGTGTAAAAAAGGTCTTACATTTTGAGGCAGAGGGAGTATTTCCTTAGAAAGAATGGACGCGTGACACGACACCTACCCAACTTACTAATCTGCAGGCTTGGCCCGGAAGGAAGATTACCCACGCATTACATACTATTGCCCCTCCCACATTGTCATGCTCTAACCTCATCAAAGAACTCGATGGGGCAATACTCAGGCTCCAACTCAGGCCCATCGACCCCAGTTGCTCCTGCTGATGTGATGTTATGATGATGATCCACAGCAAAATTGGAAGCCCAGAGAAAGTTGGGAGTACGTTTTTCCATAAGCCCCGTCCGGGAGGGAGGAAGGGAGGAACCGAAGGAGGTCGAGATTCCGAATTTTCCTTCTACCTGGTCTACACGCATTGCCAGCCATGGTAAACGTATTCGCTTCCGATGACCTGGAGGCGATCCTTATGTACACACTTTTGCACCGATGCGTGCCACAGCTTTAATTAATTGTTATTCCACCTACGAGCTTCACGTCTGTGTTTGTGAACCTACCGGAAAGGTTTGCCCTTCGAATTTGGAACGAGATTGGGGGTTTGGAGTTGCTACTACTATTGTTTGAACCACTTGCGGGCGCAATAAATGCACACACAACATCGCATGATTGGTGTCCTTTTGTTCTTAATTTTTTTTAAAACAAGGCAAAAGATTTGCCATTTCATTGATTAAGAAGGAAGTTGCAGACAAAACCGCAAAGCGGCTAAGAAAAACACTAAGAGGTCTACTCTCGCGGCATTACAATATTTGTTCTTAAAATGCTTTCGCCTTAGGGCATGTACATCAGTTCCGATACATGTTGTCTGTAGCGATCCTCCAAGTCATCTATAGACAGGCTTACAAACACTTTGTATATTTTTCAGGCTATCTATAGGACCAAAAAATTAGGAGAGTTCGTGTAGCAGGGATACGGCAGTTTGATAGGGAAGCGTCAACTTAAAAGACGGCTGAGCGTACAATGGGAAAATGTCTGTCGGTAAGTAGCGATATATCAGGGAAATCGACCGTCCGTTAAATTCTAGACACCCTCGTTCTCTCTCCACGTTCTCTTGCCTCCACGTAGAAAAATATCCCATGTGACATCCATTACAGACTGCTGACTAGACAACGCTGTACATGCCCTTAGTGCTTTCGCATGAAACACTCATCCAACTCCTTACAGCTGACTTATGAGCCACTACTTACTAAGTATAAAAAAACTCTTCGAGAATAATTAATAAAATGGCCGTATGCATCTTCCAGATGCAGAGGCCGGGGGTCATCCTCCTTTTCTAAAAAAAATACAAAAAAGCTATCCCCATGTATAATTTTCTGTCAAAGTTTACCCCAAAATGTTGCATTGCGTCAAGTTTTCGACCACTGAACATGCCTGAACTGGCTACACCCACTGGTTATGTCGGCGTGTCCAGCAGCTGAAATTACGGCCATGTATTTTTGTACTAGTATTTGCAAAAAAAATGCTTCACAGTTGGAATATTGGTACAAAAATGCCCCCTAGTTGGACACGCATCGTGTACACGTACATCCATACTGTACAAATACGGGCCAAGGCATCAGTTGGTATGTGTTGGCCTCACTTTTGTTTTTCTTGCGGCTGCCTCTGACAAGAACGGCACCAAAGCAGGTTTTCGTGAGTGTGTGGATGAGTGCCAAATTGCAGATTCCAAATGACTTGATTTTTCTACCCAAAAAAGATATATAACATCATTATGTTTGAGTTGGAATTAATCAGATTCACATTTAGTCAAACCGACGGAAAAAAGAAAAATCCAACAGAAAGGAAACACTAGGGCCACCCAGGTCCAGAGATCCACAATTCTAGTGGGTCCAGGGTGCTGGTTGTGCCGACTGGTGGGACCCAAGAAAAGCGGAAAAGAACCTCGGTGCGGTTGAATTGGCTGAACTCGTGCTCGCTCGACACACGTTGGTACTAGGCTGACCGCCTATAAATATCTCCGCCCAGCCTCGAGTTCTGTTTGCAAGTACATTCCTTCACACATCACCAGCATATCAATGGAGGAAGGGTGGCTGGGCACCGTGGCCCTCTGCTACTTGCTCGGCGGCATGATCAGCACAGCTGCTCCCATGCTTGCTGTGAGCATCGTGGCAGGGGTCATCCCGGGGCAGATGACCGCCGCGGGCATGTACGCCGCTGTGGTCACCACGACCAACGCGATCGCCACGGAGCTCGTCACCGCGTACGCTGCCAAGAAGGTGGCGGGGGCGAACGAGGACAAGTTCGGCCCCGTCAAGAAGGCTGCGGCAGCAGCGGTGGCCAACATCCTCGGCTCGGCTGTGACCATCATGGCGGTCACCAGGTCGCCATCACCGGCATCGTCGTCGTCCTCTTCATCCCCCTGGGCTACACCGCTGCGAAGCTCAATGGACGGGCTGCGGCTGCTGGAGCTCTCCGCGTGCTGTGCGTCGGCATGATCGCCCTGTGCATCGACTACCTGGCTATCCGCTTTTACCCCCGCATCCTCGAAAAGCAGTGATCCCATCTCCAGCAGGTAGTCACCGTTCTTCTGGTCTGCACACGGCAGATCATGTAATAATAAGAGTTTACTAGCGCATGTTTGCCTGTGTGTGCGTCGATGATAATAAGTCGTGTGGTCGTTGGTTCAGTTTGCAAGCGACTTGATGTATGTATATCTTTGAGCAGCAATGTGGTGGTTGGTTCAGTTAGAGAGCGACTTGATGTATATACTATATCTTTGAGCAGCAATACAGGTCACAGCTTCAGAAAAACAGCCCCACCCTGCTTCTCTACTTCAGCTTATTTCTAGCAAATTGTTTTCAGTTCAACACCTGTTGTACTCGAATTTCACATTCTCGGCAAACCTTTTAAATTACAAGAAAAACAAAGTCTAACCGACATCAATTTTGTTATTATGGAAAATAAATGCTGACTACCCAAACTACCAAGTTACTACCATTTCACTGTTCTTCTAATTATGCAAAGCCATCGCAAGACAAGAGTTACGTGGAAAATGTGCATGACAATATTTCTTGGGCTCTTTGATCACGAGGTATTTACAGCCGCATGATTTGGCAAACATGGCAGCTGCAGATTCCTGAAATAACTTACTACACACAACTCCAAAACATCAGACCATCTGCAATGCAGTTTTCTTATTACCACAGGTAGTTCATGGAAGCAAAGCAGGAACCAAACTCTTCTTACTCCGTGATATGACAAGACAAAGTACCAGCGCCAACACTGACACTGTTAATGGTGAAGTAACCACTTCACTCACTTGCAGTGGTGCTGGTCTCACTGCACACGCTCCCTGCTAATAATAATTCAGACATCCATGTAGTATTGATACAAAGTAAACCTGGATACACAAAACCATAATAATAATAAAATGGCAATGCCCAATGATTTTAGTTAAGACAAGCATCACCAGAACAATATCTCCTAAAATCGCGCACACTGCTGAGAGTGACAGCCGACTCTTAATTCCAAAGTGACATAATCCTATAACTTATTCACGTTAGCATCCCAAGAGCCCTTATCGAAAACAGCAACACCTTAGTGTTTACCTCTCCCCAAAGCAGCATTAACAATTCTTCAATGTTGAGAATGAGCTCAATTCAAACATTCTAACCAAACTGAAACAAAGTACTCTTCAATTAAGCAGGACCCCTCGGCACTTCCTCATCAGTGGATGTCTCAGGTGAAGGCGTTTCATCACCATCATATTCTTCTGACACACCCGTTTCCTCAGCAGCAGAATCTTTGAGTTCAAGTGCCTCGGTGGTAGCAGGTTCAGACTCAGAGACTGGTTCTTCAGCTGTACATTCTGCGTGAGGGGTTGTATCTCCGCTATCCGAGCAGAACCCAAGCTCCTTTTCCAGCTTCTTCCACCCAGACAGCATAGTGTCAGGGAACTTCTTCGTCACCACGTAAATAACCTCCTTCGCCTCCCTTTGCCAATCCTTCAACAAATCCTTTCATTGTCTTAAAGTCTGGCACCTTGTGCTAGCTCATGCTTTCCCTGAAAATCTTCATGGCAGTATCAAAATCGCCATGAGCATACAGCGCTGCAAGCATGTGCTTATATGTGGCTGCATTCGCTGAGCACCCTTTGTCACCTAGCGAACGGTACAGCGCCTTGGCATCCTCCATCTTTCCATCTTTGCAATAGGCAGTCATGAGGAAATTGTAGGTGATGGTGTCTGGCTTTACTCCATCGGCCTCCATTTCCACCATCACCTGGAGAACACCTTCCGGCTTGCCATTGAGTCCGTGGTGCATGGCCTTCACATTATATGTTGCATGGTCTGGCTTGCATCCGCTTTCCAGCATCTGCTTCCACAAAGTCTGGGCCTCCTCTACCTTCTTCTGCTTATACATGGAATCAATCATTGTGGTGTAGATGGTGGTGGTCGGCGAGATACCTTCCTCACGCATCCGGGCTATCACTTCGTGAGCCTTGGCGTCATGGCGGACCATACAGTGAGCCTTCACCAGTATGGCGTAGGAGGTGGCGTTGGGGGTGATGGAGAACTCCTTGACCGGGACGCGGCGGTGGCGGCAGCACCGGACGAAGGCCGATAGGAGGGCGTTGAAGGGCATCGGGGAGATGGGGGACGGGAGGGACGGCGCGGCGGAGCGGAAGGCTTCGAGGGCCTTCTCGGGGAGGCCGGCGGAGGCGTATGAGCAGAGGATGGCCGAGAGATGCGGCTCGGTTGGGGAAGCTGGGATGTGGGAGGAGAGGAGCGCCTCGGCATCAGCATGCCGTCCGGCGCGGGTGAGGCGGCGTGCGGCAAGGGAGAGCGCATGGCGCGTAGAGCCGGCGGAGAGGGAGGCAGTGTCGATGGCCTCGAGGAGGGAGACGGCGCGGTCGGC